TGCACAGTCTTGTTGTAGTTAAGCCTTGATTGTTGTATGTAAAGCTGGGAGGATTTGACCTCCAGGCCAATTGGCTGTGAGAATCAGCTGTGTCTGCAGTGGGAGAACTTCTGTGCTGGAGACACCCTCATGGGGCAAGACTTGCTTCAGTGGGGCTTTGGTGCTCACTGAGTCTGCCCCCTGAGTGTGTCCCTTATGGATCTGAGGAGTTGTAATCTGGTTCCGCCCGCTGCCAGGCAGTCCAGTTTCTCCCCGTATGAGTCTGGTCCCCAGAGACTCACCCCGAACTGGAGTCAGGGCTGGAACTGGAGTCAGGGCCGTCAGGAGCTTGTGCCTCCCTCCCGATTGAAAAAGACACCAACGTCCTCAGTTGCCAGCCCCTTTCCGCACGCGCTCGAGCCTCTGTACCTCTGCACTCTACTTCCGCACCTCCTCTGAGTCTCAGTGTGCTTTTCTCTTTCCTTCTAGTTGTAGAATTTCCACTCAGCCAGTCTTACCGTGGTTCTGGGTGATGTCCGTTTTGTCTTTTAGTTGTATTTTTGAAGTGGTTGTGTGAGGCAGCAATTTCAAGTGTTTACCTATGCCGCCATCTTGGTTTCTCCTTGTGTATTTTTACTTTTGATTCTCTTAAACCTATTTTATGTTTTATATCTTGTCAATGGTTTCATCATTTAATGGAATTTCTGTGCAAATAATTTAGATATATCTGTGTTTTTCAAGTATAAGAGTTTTATTCCAACCAATCTGACATATTATTGGGTGCCTACTACGTATCAGGCAATATTGTTGGAAATTGGAACACATCCAGTTAAAAAAGACCAATATCTCTTCCTAAAAAAAAAATATGAAAATGTCAGCGCTGGTCAACAGGTCTCTGGCCTGAGATAACTTCTCGCCAGAGGCCGTGCTCTGCGCCCCCTGTTCTTGTCTCGCTTGTAGGAATGACGTCAAACAAGAGACAACAAATGGCAGCAAAAGCAGGCGAGGATTTACTTGTAGGAAAGAAATACACTCAGATAGGACCTGAGTGGGCTAGTCAGCTGCCTGAAATCCAAATGAGTGCCCCCCAGTAAGTCTCCCCATCTCATATTTCTTAAAAAAAAATGTATCTTTAAGTTATAAGGCTCCTTGTTCCAAGTGCTATGCCACTGGTTAGACCACATCCTGGAGGGCTCTGCTCACGAAGGGGCCTGCCATCTCCATTGTCTATTTTCAGTTTGTCACATCTCACACTTACTTCCTCTAAGCCCCAGCTGCCTCTCCCAGCCTCTCCGAGCTCATATATTTCTATCTGCCCATTCTAACAAAAAGAATTATGCACTGTTAGACACGGAATAGAAAAGGGAAACATGTACTTATTCCTTTTCACTGCAGAGTTTTTAATATCCCGACAAAATTTATGGCTACTATAAATTCATAGTTTAAAATGCAAATCCAAGTGGAAACTGGGACCTGCACGCTGGGACTGTAGAGAGCCAGGCTGTATTGGGAATGAAGGCCTTGCAGATGACGGATGGTGACAACATTGTTTCGTTTAATGAAGTGGCTATTGAAGCTTAAAAGGGCAAAGATGACAAGGGGGGGACGGAGTGCTTTGTCTTTGGAAGAAGAAAAAAACTTCACAGGATTTTACCAAGAAGACATGAACTCACTACTCCTTGTTGAACTTCATTAATCTTTTCAATGAAAATGTATCTCATTGTCAAGCAGCTTGATAGCCACTTTGGGGAAATGCTTTGCTTCTTTGTAATAGAACCAATGCCTTCATTGTCCCAAAGCTCCAGTGATGTTCAGCTTTCCCTGAGAAACTGAGAACAGCAATGCTCTAGAGAAGCCAGTGTGAAGATGCCAAAATTGCGTGGTTGGGGCAGGCAAAACTTTTGCCTGTGGGGCAGTTGTTATTCTATTAATTTGTTTCTGAGAACAGCAACATATGGCAGAGAAAAAGTGTTACTGAGGATTTTTATGCAGAGACGCATATTCCTGAGTCAAAGAGAGAGAAGCTTTGGAAATTGTCCTGGTGAATCTTCTCTGTAGATTGATCTTAAGGCTTAATAGCACAGACTTTTTGTGAAGTCAAAAGGCTAAACAAATGGTCGCAACAAAAAAAATGTATCATGAAAACCCATACTCTTAAAAGCAGTCAAATCATTTTACATCCTCAATCCCCAAAGCTTTGCACAGTCCCAATTATTATCTATTTTTATACAAAGCAAGCAGGAAAACAACACAGGCGAATTTCCCAAGACTACTTCCTTTGGAAAATGTTCAAAATCCAGCACTACTGAGAGGGGCAGAAATGGAATGCTGGGGAACCCGCTAGAATTGTAATAACTATTAATCATGCTCTGTTAACCGTGATTGTTTTATTCTGATTAAAGAAAGCACAGTCGAATCTGGCTGACAGCTGCATGCAGGACCTGGGAGCTCACCTGGAAATGCAGCTCTTCCTCCCCATTTGGAGATGCTATTATCGTGAAAAGATTAGCAACTTTGTTGCCTAAACCAGAGCCAAAAACCAGAATTGCAGGACCTTTGAAGGCCCCAGGCTTTGCAAATCACTAGCCCTTTGAAGACCCCTGCCCCTTTGCATATTGCTAAGCCCTTTGAAGATCTCCAGCCCCCATTAGCTGCAAATTGCCCATTTGGCATACCCTTTGGCTACTTTCCATCTAATTTTTGTCCTTTGATATAAGCATCTGGCTTATGGTCCCAGCCCCCATTAGCTGCAAATTGCCCATTTGGCATACGCTTTGGCTACTTCCATCTAATTTTTGTCCTTTGATATAAGCAGCCAGCTTATGGTGGGGTGCAGAGCAGATTTGTGTGG